GGAATCGAAGGCGTGTAGTCCGTCGATGGGGCTCATTAGCGTGCGTCTCCTTTTTGGAGGTGATTGGGAAAAGACAGAGTCTCCGCTGGAAGGGGAGCTCGTATCTTCTCGCGTTGCGACAACAATAGGAGTCTCTTCGTCCCTCGGACGACCTGAAGTCCTCTCCCGAACCTCTTTGCGTATGCGCAGCTTGACACCTTGAGCCGCCAGAGCGCGGGTGAGTGGAGTAGACACTGAATGCAAATTGTTATGTTGTGATATATACCCTAGGGTGCGACGCACCTTGAACGCCTGGGTACTGTTTTCCTAAATATACAAAAAATGGCGCGGAATAGGTGGTCGCACACGACTTGACCTTGTCGCTACAGAAGTTTATCAGCGCGGATGGCTGGGTCGGCGAAAACAACACACCCGTCGATAACGAACAAGCTCAGTTTGAACCGCCAACTTCCCTCTACTCGTACACAAATGTTGGGGAATATAAAAAAGGCGGCATCTTGCTCCGAATTGGGATGGTCCTTCAGTACACGGACCGACGAGATGAGAGAGCCGGAAGTGCTTGGTCTTCCGTCGTCCTGGAATAATAAAGATGAGAAGGGGAGCCCGAAATAATTATCTGCGCCATACACCAATGTATTTCACTTCGTTATCATTGTTCGTCTCGACGAGCGCCGCATACATAAAGTAGTACGGATTCGTCAGATGCGAATGGCGAGTCAATGATCTTTATACACCAATGTCAGCTTTCGTGATGCGACTGCGAATAGAGAAACTCGGCTACCGATGGTTTGCCCTGGACGACGGCGCGTTCGAGCCCATGTCCCGGCGATCACTCACGAAGAGCTGTACAATTATGGGAGGGTCGACAGGCCGGCGATCTGCTGATCACAGTATCAGCTCCACCCTAGCGTGCGTACATTGGCGGTTCTGACCCGAAATTTTCATGGCGGATATGCGCGCATGCAGTGGTTGCTGGCGTATCGTCACATCGTATCTCAGACTGCCGGGGTACGGGTCAGCGGTTTAGCCAACAGCAAAGAAATCATGTACGCACTGAGCGCCGTCAGAATCCATGGAGCCGGGTCGAATTGTGGCAGGTTAGTACAGCGTGAGGGGAGTTCAAAGCAAAGTGATGGTTGTCGGTTGGTAAAAGAGACGGAGAAAATAGATCCGCCAGGTAGACACCTCGAGGTATGCATGCACAAAGCGTATGTAGCAGTCGCGCAGCCGGCAGAACCAGCCAGTTAAACTTGGATGATCATCTCGTCGGACCGGAGCACGGAAATTGAGTGTCCAAATTAACACGAGCCCATGCCACCGGGTCTGAGCTACCCATTTCCTATCTCTTGGCCGGGAGTTGCCACGAACCTCGTTTTCAGGCACTGGCGCTAATATAATCGAGCTCAATCGGGGAAGACGATAGCAGGTTCGGGGTGCGGAGACCAGTGGCGGTGGAAGGCGAAGCCAGGCGAATTTGTCTCATAACGAGATATCGTACTATCGTGCGAGCGCCACTCGGAGTAATGAGTCAAGTTGGTCTAGGAAAAGTTGCAATTGCACAGCAGAGATTGAATCCATTCAGTCTTCCCTTCAGTCGAATGGAGGCTAGTGCCCAAAGCAGTGATTCCAACCGATGCAGGCGGATATCGATAGGTATCTCCTACCATCCGGATAGGTGAAAGTCCTTCCATCGATGAGAATTTGAATGGCGACATAGGTCATGTTGGTCGAATGCAAAAGAGAGTTTGTTGTCGCATGTTTTGCGTCGCACCGCCTTGCGACTCTGTTTCAATCCACGACCAACCCTCGATATCAGCGGTGGATCCCAGGGCGGATCCAGTCAGGATGCATCTGTTTCGACATCGTTACGCCTGAAAATCGAAGAGAGAATGACTGGTCAAGACACCACCGTGATCGATCGATGTTCCACAGCTTCGAGCCTTCGCGATTCCAATCCAAGACCGTGAACTCCAAGTTTCCACCCTAGTTCCATGTAAAACCATTTTCCGAGGGTCAGCAAACACTTTCCGCGGCCTCGAAGCACACTGCCGTCAACCGAACCCGCCTTGGAAAGTGAATCTCCTCATTTCACAGACATGCCAGCGTCTGTGCTGATTCTCACTCCGGAGCGTGACAGGCGCAGGCGCTCGCGAACTCTGCTCTGAATCATCTGGTGCTCAGGCTGCCCGCCCGTAACTCCGCCTTCTTGCAAAGCCTTTACAACACCGACCCCAAAATTCAAATTTGAGCGCGTGAGCAGCGAGCATTGGGTACGACGGAATACGCGTGGCTGTCTTTCTACGTCATCGCTCCTCAGCGCCGCGTACTCGCCGGACGACGATGTAGCGCTGAATCGCCCAACCTCTACGCCACACGCAGTCATGCTATATTCCTGCAAGCATCTGGCTTCCTGATACATCGCCGTCGCGTACTCGTCGTCGATGAATCGCCCAGCCTCTACGCCACTCACAGTCATACTCTCTTCAAGTCCTTTACCGTCGGGACGACATCTCAGCAAGCCGCGCTCCTCCTGCAATGCGGCGTGTACATGCACGACCCCCACCGTCGATGAATCAATCGCCCAGCCTCCAGTCATAACTTAGCCTGTCTTCTTCCAGTACTCCCCTTCACCGTCGGGTCGAAGACAGTCCGTTACCGTCGGGATGCCATCTCAGCAAGGCGCGCGGGCAATGCGGCGCACATACACGATCCCCGGGTCCCGTGCGCCACCCGCAGTGAAATACTCAATGCTCTCGATCGCGCCGGCAAGTGTCAACTCGCCGTCGGAGAAGATGTCAGAGTGTGTCGCAGTTCAGGCCACGATGCTCTGCGTACTCTGGTCTACGCTCAGTTGCTCCTTCCGTCAAACGGGGTCTTGTGCGTCGCTTATGAATCCGCAATATATGTGTTGATATCGTAACGGTCGCAAGGCACGCATCCTCTGGACTACTCTGGACTAGAATTCACGGTCATTTCCAGTGGCTCAGTCGTCGTGTTGGACAGACCGACCTCAACCTCGGCCATGTGTGCCAACCCCAATCTCAGGCATCGCAAATTCGCAATCCCGCTTTCCCGCGCCTTGAGCCTCGTCACCTTCAGCGGAATTCAGGTTATGTTGGTACACGCAAATTTCGTCTCGGTGTCTAGTCTACACCCCAGTCGCCGTGCCCAGCTCGCGGTCGCAAACCCGATTTGGAATCAACTCGATCGATATTGCACCGATCCTCAGTCAAATAAAATGAAGTTCAGTTGACACAACGACGACCTGGTGCCAATGCCATTGCTCTCGGTCCGGACGTACACTGTTTGACACAGGCCTGGGTCGTTGAGAGCACGACCTTCTATACTCTTTCTCCCGTTCTCCTTGTCTTCCGCGACGTGCGTTTGTCAGGGTCAGGGTCAGGGTTGGAGTAATCTCCGGCGATCTAGATTGCATGCATCCCCTTCGGCAAGCTAGTCTCTAATCAGTCGGTAGCTCACTGGCTGGGTGGGTAATTAACAACTTCAAGCTTGATCGATCATTCACTGCGTTCCGGGGCCGAAGGGCGCAGAGCTACACTTGGTGCCGCCTGCACTCAGCCTGCGTAGATGAGTCTAGGTCTGTGTAGATCCGTGTAACTGGGTACAGCGCAGCTGAGGTGAGTGCAAGTCATCATAGGCACCTACACCAATGCCAGTGTAGCATCGCCCAACTTGGTTAATGAACTAGTTTGTTAAACCGAATCAAAAACCGACTGCAAACTAGACTGAGATGAAGTGAGTATAGGCACTCGAACTGACCTACACTTAGGGCTGCCACCCGTTGCCGCGCCGGGCACGGCCGTCTGTTTACGGGCCGTCGATTGGCATTTTCGACTTGGGACGGTACGGGACGGTTGACGGCCGTTGTACGAGAATAAATTTCGTTGCAAGTTTTATTGAGTAGTATGAGTCCTAGATGGTCTATTATAATACTGTGACATGATCTAAGGCACTTGCAGCTTTTGTAAAACTCTCTAGCCTTGACCAACGCACCAAACAAATTTCTAAGTTGGAATGTTGTGTCTTTCCCAAAGCGGAATGTTAGTCCAGCAACCTCGGTTGAGTGCAGCATACACTTCCAAAATTCCCAGCAGCATTGGGAAAACTGAAGCTGAGTTTTCAATGCACGCAAAGGGTCAATTTGCCCCATACAATAGTATTTGGAGCCAAAATCTCCTCCATGTGCCGTCGCCTTGCCGTTCCGGCCCGTCTTCCGTTTTGCACGCACAATCTCCGACGGAACAGGTGCCGTCAAGCCGTCGCGACGGCAATGAGCGCAGCCCTACCTACAATTCCCCAGGCGAGGCGAACTGAGCAGACCCATATGGAGCTACATCTGGCGCAACTCAATTCTGTCCAGCCGTGTGTAGGTGACCCAGACCGACCTGTTGTGGCCCCTAAGCTCACCCATACGGAATGCAGCGAATATTGGACTCAACTAATAGAAGATAACTCAGATTGGCCGTCATTGGTTGAATCTGCCGATGTGTTCTATAACCTCCTGGATTCCTTTGTCCGCACAATGTAGCATGCACGTATCAATCAGGAGGACATTTGTGCGTCGCGCTCGCCGCTGATCCTGTTTGTCGGATTCTCAGTGTTTTCAACCCGACTTCACCTTCATCATCGTTCAATAATCTGGGCACGTATGTCTCCGACCCGACATCCCAGCATGACTCTGACTCCTCTTTCGCTCTGTTTAATTCTCCTTCGAATTTTGCGTCTTACTGCGTTAGCAAAACCTTCGAATCAATTTTCAATTTGTTTCATGAATCATGATCAGAACCGCATCGACCGCGCATGAGCAGCCCGGAACGACGCTGGCTAGCGAGTGACTTTGAGTTCCCGAGTGAATTTGCCCGCCACATTCCAAGGGGTTGGAATTGAGCATGTTGAAGTTGACGTCGACCGTCAAGATCGTGGTTACAGGTGAAGTTTCCTCGTATGTATCTCAGGATAACCTCAACAAAGGAATCAATGGCCTAATAGCATAACGGTTAGTGTGCCTGCTCTCGGTACGTTAGCAAAGCATCTCATGCAGGAGGTCCCTGTTCGATTCGGGGTTAGGTCATACGCAGAAAGATAATTGGTTTTTTTCTTCTTCCCTTTTCCCACTTTCCCCTGCTACTACTCGTACTTTTACATAAATTTTGGGACTTCAACGTGACAGGAATAAAAATTCGAAGTGAGTTGAACGCATGCATTCAAGTTGACCATCAGGATCATCGTCTCAAAAAATGCATCCCTATATCTATGAATTACACGAGTACAGTAATCAACGACCTAATAGCACAAGTGGTAGTGCACCTGCTGTGTATGTAGTGGTAGGATATAGTATTTGCAGGAGGTCCCTGTTCGATTCGGGGTTAGGTCGTAATGCTTACGAGAAGTTTTTTTTTTTGCCCCTCCTTTACCTGGGGCGTGAACCGTTTTTGGATGAATGATTCAAATGGGCTGGGACTTGAGCGTTTGAACTTGGACACTTGACCTTCAAATAAAATTGGAGTTGAACACATACATTCAAGTTGACCACTGCCAGGATCAAAAAAAAAATCACCCTACGTCTATTCGTTATATGAGCAGCAGAATCAATGACCTAATAGCACAAGTGGTAGTGCGCCTGCTGTGTATAAAATGGAGAAACAGAGTATTTGCAGGAGGTCCCTGTTCGATTCGGGGTTAGGTCATGGTGCTTTGAGAATCGTTTTTTTGTTTTTGTTTTTTTCCTTGCTTTACCTGCGCTCTTGTTGGCGTGAACCATTTTTGGATAGATGGTTTCATTAGGCTGGGACTTGAGTGTTTGATCATGAGCTTCAAGTTGGCAGCAATAGAATGGAGTTGAAGTTTGAACACACCCAAGTTGACTGTCAAGGTCTTTGTCTCAAAAAAAAAAAAAAAAACATCCCTACACCTAATAAGTGTGAGCACCGGAGCCAATGACCCAATAGCACAATGGTTAGTGTGCCCGCTATTGGTGAGAGCCGAGGATTACTCAGCGAGAGGTCCCCGTTCGATTCGGGGTTGGGTCATATGTGTTCCAAATGATATTTTTATTTTATTTTTTATTTTATTTTTTAGTTCGACTCTGTGTTGTGATTACAGTACTTGTTCTTGAACCCTTAATACACCTCCTCCTCCTCCTCCCTCCTAAATTCGAGTGGACTGGATCTGCCTGCGACAAGTTTTACAAATTGAGTCTTGAGATGTATCCGAGTCTCTTGAACTCGATCATCTCAACTCGACCTTTCTGTTTACTTCCAGGCATTGTGTATGCAACAGGTGGGAGCCTATAGACAGCCTTAGATGGGGCACCATGGATTCAATAGCACAATGGTTAGTGCACCTGCTAGCAATACATCCTCCTTTCTGAGTACGCAGGGAACCCTCGTTCGATTCAGGGTTGGGTCATACGATTTCGCTGCTTTGTTTCGTCTCGTGTATTTTTCGCAACTCCGTGTACTTGCGAATTCACTCAGTATTATTTCCGACTTTGTTTCGCCTCCCCGGGCAAATGCGGTTCGGTGTCGGAGAAAGTCGGAGCAACTGGATTTGGATGATGGGATCAGACTGACGTGAGAACCCAATCGAGCATTTGCCAGCGCCGTCCCGTCCGTCCCCAAAAGCTTCCCCTCGTCCAAGCCGACAAGAAGCCTCACGGTATGTACCCCTGCCCGCCCGTCGCCCATATACCGTGCATTCAGACGAAAGGACGCTGAACTGGGCTGGATGCGGCCGTTGGAGTGTGGATGTACTTTGCTCACCGATTTTTGCAGGTTTCCTTACACCACCACAACACAATATGGCTTCAAAACTGCCCGCGGTGCTGAGCGCGACCGAGGAGGAGATCCAGCTCCTGCTGGCTGCTCAGTGCCATATCGGCACAAAAAACTGCGACAAGCAGATGGGGCCCTATGTCTGGAAGAGACGTCCTGACGGTGCGCAGTCTAGAGGGCAGTGCGCGCAGAGTACTGACTCGACCAGGGATCCACATCCTCAACATTGGCAAGACCTGGGAGAAGCTCGTACTTGCCGCGCGCATCATCGCCGCCGTCGAGAACCCCAACGACGTCTGTGTCATCTCCGCCCGGCCCTACGGCCACCGCGCCGTCCTCAAGTATGCCGCCAACACCGGCGCACAGGCCATCGCGGGCCGCTTCACCCCCGGGTCGTTCACCAACTACATCACCCGCTCGTTCAAGGAGCCCCGTCTCATCGTCGTCACCGACCCCCGCGTCGACCACCAGGCCATCCGCGAGGCGTCCTACGTCAACATCCCCGTCATCGCCCTGTGCGACACCGACGCCCCCCTCAAGTTCGTCGACGTCGCCATCCCCACCAACAACAAGACCCGCCACTCCATCGGTCTCATCTGGTGGCTCCTCGCCCGCGAGGTCCTCCGTCTCCGCGGCACCATTCCCCGCACGAGCGACGGCTGGAACGTCATGGTCGACATGTTCTTCTACCGCGACCCCGAGGAGGTCGAGAAGCAGCAGAAGGAGGAGGCCGAGGCCAAGGCCGCGCTCCTGCAAGGCGCGGAGGAGCCCGCGCAGCCGGTCGACTGGGACGTCGGAGGTGCGCAGGCGGGTGCGATCAACCCCGGGCTTGTCAGCGACGGCGGTGCCCTCGACTGGGCCGCAGATCCCACCCCCGGTGGTGCGTCGACCGACTGGGCCGCGGAGCCCGCTGCTGCTGGTGGAGGATGGGGCGCAGAGGCACCCGCGGCTGGCGGCTGGGAGTAGAGCAGACGCGCGCGGGCGTGTAATGCGAGGCGTTCGTCGTTTACTCACTATGGTGTCGTCCGCGTACAATAATCTCTTCTGCATTGCACAAAAAAATATGATATTCATGGTTATGGTCATATGCACCCAAGGCCTTTGCATTTCCAGCGTTCTCTCCGTCGTTCTCGGTCACTCCCGACTTTCTGCTTGGAATCAATTGGCGCGACCCGGGATCTGCTATATAGCGACACGTGTTTCCCTCGGCATTCCGGCACGAATCACTTTCGGCATTCGGCCGAGACGTACAAACTTGAACTTTGACCCAACCGCATTCTTTCGGGACTGACTGGTGAAGACAGCCTCGGCGGCGGCTCACAATGTACGGTACTGATACTGATATTACCGCTCATTCGCGCAAAACCTTCTCGCGACGACATAACTTGAGCGATGATCAAGTCCCAAATAAATTCCTAACACCGGGCTTCGACGCTCCAATCCAAGCTTGTTCGTGAGTCCTTCTACACAGTCTATTCTTGCCATTGACATTATGTGCGCCGTCCGGCACCCCATAATATCAACCACACTGCTCTCAATCTCTAGACGCGTTGGTTCGACTAACCTGGAAAAAAGGTACGGAGAAGCCCACACGGGGGAGGAGGAGTCTCGTGCCGCTTCGTGACGTGGACGGCGCTTCCTACCTATCCGGCTGGTCACTGGTGGACAAATATTAATACGGACCTGTCCGACGCCTGGTCAGTTCAGTTCAGTGTATATCTGCGCCACAGCAGCGAACTGACGAACGGTATTAATTTAATTCCCGCGCAGTTGACACCTGGCGTTGGTCGGGCTGAAGGAAGCGCAGGGCTGGGCGAAGGTGTTACCGCCCCTCAGCAGAATGAACGCGATACGGCAAGTCCAAACGACTGATATCGATTGCCAGTGGGCGGGGAGGTGGAACCGACGCTCGGTCTGCTCTGTCACTCGGGAGCGCGACTTCTAAAACAAGGAAAGATTCTATGAGGACTGCAACCGCAATGTGTGATATCATGATGGATAGACGGACGGACAAATTCAAATTCTATACCCATGACATAGGGTTTTCACCCGCGACTTCCGATCCTGGCCAAATTTAAAGGCAAGCAAGCCATTCATTAGGCACGCAACGCAAGGCCCAGTAAAATATCTATCCGTTCATCTCCTCGTAATTCGAACCAGGTCGGCTGCTCGGGTGCCCTTTATTATTATTATAGGTGGTGGTAGATAGATAAATCACCTCCCGATAAATTCGAGCAGGCACTGAATATTGAATGCGTGCGCACGGAAACTGAACGAGGACTGCCCTGTGGATGTGTACATATTATGTTGGCGAGGGAGCTTCTGGACGTACATGTCTCGCGGGCTGTTTCATCTATCCATCCATGCTTGCGGCAGTGACTGGACGACGCGCCAGGGCTGCCCCGGTCTCCTCCAGTTCGAGTTTATGCGACCCTTACTGGACGATATGGTCCAAAGCGATCAATCATGGACGAAGTTGTCGTTCGCTTCGAAGAAATACGTACGGGGTTGAGCACTCGGAAGTTGCGCCCTCGGGCGATCAAGGCGACTGATTCTCTTTTTATGTCCCCCGAGTAATTGGTCAATGAAGTCGTCAGATGATGTTTTGCGTCTTGAAACTTGAAGGTTCCAGCCCTCCCCACCTTGGCCTAGGGTTTAGAAATATTCATCAGAGTCGTCGTTCCATCTCTCACTGCCGCGGTTGTTGATACACAATGCTAGGTTCAGCCCCGGTCGAGAAAAACTGCACAATTAAACCTTCGTGGACGGCACCGCCCCGCTGAGATAGAACATGTCCTCCAATTTGGTTTAAACTTGACTTTCTTTCCCACGGTTGAACTTGGCCATCAGTGGCAGTGCCCGATTACAACACTGGCGTAGTAAATGGCTGGATGCCATGGAGAAACTCAGAGCGCCAACATTGTCAGGTCTAGACTCAACCTAAAAAACTTCCCGCGTGGTTTGGCTCAGGGTGGCATCCGACTAACGATGCTGACGGGTCAAAGTGTTTTACAACATCCAGCAGCCTTGACTATCATACAATGTACGAGTTAGGTTTGGATATAGTGAGAGAAACTAATCGAGATTCGATACCAGAAAATGCTAAAATGTAAGCTGACCTCGAAACCTCAAGACACTGAATGCCGAATGGGTTTTACTCAGAGATGGCCCAGTTTTTCTTGTACTACCTATCTGAAAAATATGTCGTGTAGCCTCAAAGACCCAAGGATCGCTAAACTATTTCTTCAGGCTTCGTCCTGTGGGGAATAATGCAGACGGGGAGATTCAACGGGCCGCAACGGTAACGTAACTCGAATCATGTTTGGGCAAGTGTTTGGGCTTGCTTGGCTGCTTCATTGTGCCACTCGACTCTTTTCGTCTTCCTCTTGTTCTTCTATGGATCTGAAGTGCGATAACTTGGATTGCCCCGGGGCCTCAGCCTCTCCTGGGGTGGCCCTCCAGACGCTACTCGTGTGTTCTGGATGCTCCGCCGTCCACTAGTGAGTCTTCCAGTTGTAAAATAAATTTGGAGCGATCGATTGAACTCTGAATCTGCTCTAGCTGTTCGAAAGAATGCCAGAAGGCGTGCTGGAAGGCCCACAAGCAAGCTTGTCGGATGCACCCGGCTTCCCTCGCAGGGCTCCGCTTGCGAGTGGCGCCCGAGGTTGAAGACTACTACTCGGACGAGGACTCAGACGACGGAGAGAATGAATATTCGGCACAGAAGGTTTGTGCGCAGTGGTGTATGTCGATCAACTGGATTCATGAATCTTCCTCTCCAGATTATCGACATAAAAATCGAGAAGACGACCGCTAAAGAAACGATCGAAGTGGGAACTATCAAAATCCGGGTCATCGACATCCCAATGACCAATCGCAATGGTGGGTTCTTCGAGTGCGTCGATGAATACTCCCATGTGAGCTCTCGGTTTTTCTTACAATAAACCGTCCGGCATGCTTGACGATATACGCAGGAGCTCGGCAAGTTGGCGCTCAACTTCAATGCTCGTGGGCGTCTCCGCCCCAACCAAGGATGCTGGCAGCCACAGGACTTCCGAAATAATCGCTACCTGGTTTATCTCGAAGAGCTCATTATCAATCCCGCATGGAGAGGAAAGGGCCTGGGCACTTGGGCACTTCCAAAGCTCTTCGACCTCGAGGCATTGCATGGCTCGCAGTACATCTTCGCATGGCCCACCGTTTTAGGGAATCTCGACGAGCAGGCCGCCTGGACCATCAAGAGGGATCGTATCATCAGATTCTTCCAGAAGGTGAATTCTTATCTCAGTCTCAGAATCACCACATCCCGAAATTTACGCCAAATGTAGGCTGGCTTCCGACGTCTTATAAACAGTGATTTCTTTTGTGTTGCCAAAAACGCCTCACACCGATCTCGCGCGATTCCCATCGAAGAGGACGCCCCGTTCAAGGAGCTGCCGCCCCCGACGACGGAGGAGGAGGCGATGCGACGCTTTATGGCAAATAATTAGTACCGGACTTCACACACAAGGGTTTCTTTTCTCGTCACGCTACCGCTCCATGTACCTCTCAAGTGACCGCAGTTCAGTCGACCGTCCTCCACATTGTCTAATAAATTCCTCTTGAGCGATTACAAAATAAAAAGTGATGTCAACG